CTGCTGGTCCGGCGGGATGCCCTCCTTGTCCTGAATCTTCGCCTTCACGTTCTCAATGGTGTCGCTGGCCTCCACCTCGAGCGCGATCGTCTTGCCCGTCAGCGTCTTCACGAAAATTTGCATGATGCCGAGTTCCTATCGGGTGTGGGAAGCAGCAACGAGTAGCGGAAACAGGGAAAACAATGGGTCACGGGTAGAACAGAGGCACAAACGTTCAACAGTAGGTATATGCTGATACACACGCACACACACAATGAGAGAGAGGGGGAGGGAGGAAGAAATTAATTGATACACACTGATAGGTTGCGGTGCGATTACCGCGAGTGACCCGTGGTGCGCCTAATCCCCAGAACATCAAGGGAGGAAGCAAAGGCAACACCCACCCGCAGAGTCCCAATAGCTGCATCTCGTTCTGCCTCTCCCATTGCTATATACTCACATTTCAAGACATGAATGCACACTTTCCGTTCACTCGTTGCGTTGCCTGATAATATCCTCGTTAGTATTCTTCAGCCACTTCCTTCGATTTTTCCTCCTCATCGTCAATAATAATAATAATAAACTACCTTCACCACCCCACTCAGCACTACATACAGTTTAGCCGAAAAGCCAGCTCATTCACAAATCGGTTGTAGTCGATCTTTTCTTCCTTCTCGTCCTGCTCTGCTATAGTCAGGAGCTCCTCTAATTCCTCTGGCGATGATAGTTCCCCGAACATGGCGAACATCTCCATGAACTGCTTCCGCGTCACGAAGCCAGTACGCTGCTTGTCAAAGTGATAGAACGCGGTGCGGAGCTCCTCCACCATGCCGTCGTCTACCTCACGCGTCATGAGCAGCAAGAAGTCGCAGAAGGTAAACTCATCCGCGCTCTGCTGCTCACCCTGCCCGACCACGCGCATGGTCTCCTGGAACTCCTCCTCCGTCATGTGCAAGCCAACGTTCTGCATCATGTTGAATATATCCTTCCGTGGGATGGACACCTTCTTCTCACCGCTGCTTAGAACGCGGTATCCCTCCGCTAGCTCGGTGATTGTGTTATGTGACATGGGCTTGCGGAACACTGGGCGCGACATGCCACGGACATCTGCCATCTGGGCTGCTGACGTCCCTCGCGGCGATTGTGGTTGCGCCAGGGCATTTTTGTGGTCGTTCTTCCAAGCGTTACCGCCCTTCATCCCCTCCGCGCCGATGCGTGTATGTATATGTATATGTATATATATATATATATATATATATATATATTTGTTTACAGCTGCCGAGATACAGCTGTGGGTGTGTAAGCCTGGCTTTGTGTACTCGATGCACCCCCCACGGAAACACGACGATGTCCTTTTTTTGGTTCTTTTTTTCTTTATTGATGGGGCTGGTAGGCGCACCCACAACGCGGGAAAGGGAAGACACACAACAACAACAACAACAACAACAACAAGAGGGAAACAATAAACAGCCAACAGTCGGACCAGTACACACACCGCACGGTGTAGGGGCAGGAACACACCGGAGGAAGAGGGCATCATCCACATTGAGCAGAGACACACACGCACACACACGTACAGCACCACACAGACGCAGGTGCATCCACACGCAAAGCAGCAAGGTGCATGTAGAAAGATCAGCACGAAAAAACACACACACGCACAAAAAGCATCCCATCAACTCCACGTGTTGTTTCCCGCACCATCTCTCTCATTCTCACCGTTTTAGTTACCTACTCTGTATAGCTGCTGTTTGATGGCGTTCATCCGGCGTTCCCTATCATCTATCATCCTTCAGGGGAGGGGGCAAATTCTCGTGCGGTGTGTTGGTGCGCATGTGTGCGTGTAAGTGTGTGTGTTTGTGTTTGTTTAGAGTGCTGCTGCTGCTGCTCATCTCCCCTACCCCATCACCCCCTCACTTCGTTTACAGCACTCACCTCCGAGTGTGAGGAGAGAAGCGGGCAAAAGATCTGAAAATAAAAAAAGAAAAAACATTGGATCAAAAAAAAAAAAACCAACACTACCTACATCTAAACAATTTTTATATATATCTGCTCAGCCAGCTGCAGCCTTTCTGCCACGTTCTCGCTTCCCCTAACGCTCTACTTGCTCATCATCATCTTGACGAACTCCTCGTAGTTGATCTGGCCGTCGCCGTCCACGTCGGCCTCGCGGATCATCTCGTCCACCTCCTCGTCCGTCAGCTTCTCGCCGAGGTTCGTCATGACGTGGCGCAGCTCCG